CCTTCGACCCGGGCCTGCAAGTCCCGGACCTGCGCTAACAGCTGTTCCAGTGTGTCGTTTCTGGCTTGTGGATTGACGGTTCTGACAGAGGACTCCTCCTCGTCTATCCTCTTGTTTTGCCTTTCGTGGGATTGTGCCTGTTGTTCGCGCTCAGGGGGCTGCTGTTCGTTTTGGTGTTGTTCATCTCTCGCTTGTTCGATCCTGGGCCGCTCGACCCTTGGTTGTTCGACTGGTGTTTGTTTAAGTTGGGCCGCCACTGCCTCCGCGATCATTCTCTGCATTTCGCTTCTTGTCACGGTTAGCGTTTGTTCTTCGGTTTGAGGCTTTGTCCCCTGGTCAGGTTGCCCAGGTTGCCTCCCCATCCTCAGAGAGATTTCGGTTGATGCGTGACCATCTATTCCTCCGCTTGTGTCCCTCACGTGACTGGTTTCCCCCTGAGTGAGAACCGGGATCTTGAATCCGGGTGGGGTAATAGGCGTCTCTTCTCCCGTTCGCCCTCCTGACGGCGCGTGTGCCTCAAAAGGTGGGAATCCCAGCACCTGGAGCGGTGGTCTAAAGCCAGGAATCGGCGGAGGTCGCTTGTCCGTCCATGTTGCCCTGAAGTCCTCGTTCAAGTTTTTCTGCACTCCTTCCTTCTCAGCCATCGGAAACAGATCAAAGCTAGGTGTAAAGCTCTTAGTTCCTTCAAGAGCTCCCCACAGACGGCGCCAAATGATGGGTTTCTTCTCAGATCTGGAATGGTCTAATGAGAAAACGTCCGGATCTGGGACGAACCGGTACGGATGAGCTTAGATCTGATGTGATGGTGATCGAACCGTTGTTGTGAGCCGCAAGAACACCTACAAGAACTCAACGCCGGAGGGGTTTCCGGCGTAGAGCCTCCGACGCTCAAGTCAGTATATGAGAGAGATGATGATAGCTGCTATCACAGCAGCCGCAGTGATGAAAAGGATCTGGAATGAGTGGGAGTTAGGGTTTTGGGCTTACCTCAGTCCTTTATATAGAAGTGCAATATTTACCTGAAGTCCCCAAAGTACCCCGGCCGACTCAATGGAAATGTCCAGAGTACCCCGGTCGGTTCATATTTTGCCCACTTCCTAGTCAGCATCTAGATCCTTCCTTAACTTCCTTCTTATCCTTAACTCTCCTTTAATACGCTGAGGTGTGTCAAAGCTATCGGGAACCGCGAACTGGAAGACTCCTCCAGTCGACTTGAGGTATTGAGTCGAGTCGACTGGATCGCGTCCCACCGTTAATGGACCTTGATACGTTTGATCGCTGTCTTGCAGAAGTCGACGTATTCTAGTCGACAGGCGTACGCCGACCTCGTCGAGAACCGGGCTTCTTGATTGAATACCGTGAGACCCTACTGGTGGAGTCGACGGTGTTGTAATCGACTTGGCAGTTTCGAATCGTGATGATACGAACCGTTATGAGCCGATTGTGGCAATGTCACGGTTACTGAACCGTTGCGCGATAGTATGGCTATATCATTATTATTATCATTATTATCATTATTATTATATTATTATTATTATTATTATTATTATTATTATTATTATTATTTTATTATTATTTTTTTTTTTTGGTGTTTCATACTAATTATTATGAATTTTAATTGCAGACTTCTGCACTATGCGGGATTTATGGCGGATTATCCGATATGCATCCATATCCGCCTCAAATCCCTCCAGAAGTGCAATCGGCTTACAACAGTCGTACAACTATGCATACTCTTCGCTGACTGTTGGGGGTCAGGGTGTTCCAAATGGGGGGCCGTCCAGTCAAGTTTTCTCCCAGGACGAATACATTCCCCCCATGAGGACACAGTCACACACCGTCAGGCATCAACCCGCCCCCAACATTAGTGGGGGTAGAAGATCTCGGGTCCGTCCCCACGCTCAGCCGTCTACCCAGCCCTTCCCACCTCAGTCGCCCCAGCCCTTCCCACCACAGCAGCCGTCCGCCCAGGACTACTACATACCTCAGCCGCCCAGCCCTTCCCACCTCAGCAGCAGTTCGCCCAGGACTACTATATACCTCAGCCGCCCGAGCCTCAACAAGGTGAAATTTTTAAATTAACAATTTTTTTTCCCAATCCAATTTATGATTTCTTTTTTCCAATTGAACTACTCAGATGATGAAGAAGATGACCAAGCTTTTCAAGCTGACACGCTTCTCACACCTCAACCTTCGTCTTCTTCTCAAATTGTATATACTCGTAGGGGGTCCAAACAACGCAGGCCTCTGAATCCATACACTCCTTCCTAGTCAGATGTGTCGAATTAATGGATTTTGTGCTTCATTTTCAATTGTTGGATTGTATATACAAACCGAATTATATCGTTTTGTATATATTGTTTGTTTAACAAATTATTGTGTTTTTCATTTGTTTCGTTAGTGTATGTGGAATTATTATTGTGCGGATATGTTGATATTAGTTGCTCGAACAGGTATATTTGCTCGAACAGGTATATTTGATTTTTGGGTAAATTTGATTTTACCAATTTTTTTCAATTTTTTTTTTTAAAACGTATTTTTAAAATACGTTTTATTGTTAAAATAAATTTAAAAAATGTAAAACGTATATATGAAATACGTTTTCATGTTTAAAAGAAATTAAAAAAAAAAACAAATTAGTAAACGTATTTATGAAATACGTTTTTGAGTATAAAAATCAAAAAAAAAATAAAAAAAATGTAAAATTTTTTTTGTCAATACGTTTTATTGTTTAAAAAATTCAATACGTTTTGAATTTCGTCTACTTCATTTTTTCCCTTTTTTTTTGTCCACTTATTTATTTCTTTTTTTTTTAGAAAAAAATTCTATAAGAATTGATTCATATATGATACTTAATAAAAAAAATCAACTCATTTTACACTTGAGACTATATGTTGAAAACTAAATGGAGTATTGAGTTTCATACACCAATTGATGGTTTTGATCATTCTTTGTAGGATAATACCCAAAAGATGCTGCATTTATCCACATTATATGTACTGATGTACAGTACTTTTACAAACAAGACTTCTTTCTAATAACTACTTGATAATTTTTCACCAAATATATTTTGTTATTAACTACAATTTCCCCACAGATGGATGCACCAAATGTTTAATGTTGACGTGGAATCATGTTTTCTTTGTGAACGAGTATCATGAGATAAAATGAATTATTCAAGTACATTTATAATACAACACAAGGAACATAGGGAACATTGGTATCAAATGAGTAAAAACATGAAGCTCACAAGCCAGGATCATCAACACTACCAACTCGTATGTGAGATGTCGCCTTCAAATTGAAATTGTGGTGTCACAACAAATAATGATAATTGAAACACGGTTTAACAGTTGTTCAAGAACTTATCGGCCATGAGGCGGCCAGCAAATTCATAACCTTTCAGCTCCAAATCGCAAACTGGATATGACAGAATGAAGATGGTTCTTCTTCAGTTTTCTTCTTCTGTGATTGTTTCCCCTGCATCACATCACAAATTTTATGTAGCAGTTATGTTAAAAGTTTACGAACAATTTATAAATGCAAATAAACACAACTCCGAAGAGAAGGGCTTCAGTTCGAAACAAAAAGAAAAGTTGAAAAAAAAAAAACACTTTTGGCAATTACACATACCAACTTCTTCTATTTCTCTCTCAACCTGTCATTATATGGTAGTTGAAGATGAAACTCATGTGAGAATGTTATTCAAAAGCACTGAAACTACTTTCTCTACATTTTATTTCCCCCCTTTTTGAGCTTTTAGCATCTACTTCCCAGCTTCTAAATAATTCACTTCTAAGAAATCCTCAAGTGTTCGCAGACACTTACAACCAAAGTGCAATGCCAATTTTCTTAGTCCTCGTTCAACGTCTGTGCAAAACTAATATGTCGCCGACTTTTACGCATGTGTAACACATTCAGGCAACAACAATGATTTTGTGAGACAAACGAGCTTTCGATAGAGTTTGTATCGTGTACTCACCAGTACTGATTGTGCAACACAAATGAATCTGCTGGTGTTAGTTTCCCATCATCATTCCGGTTCCAATGGTAAAAGGCGTGAGTTCTGTTCATTATTTCCAACGTCGAATGTCCATAACTAGCTTCACGAAAGGCAGAGTACTCTGGCTGGGGATCCCTAAATCTGCCGAGGTAATAAATTTATCAGTGCTGAGAGGGACACAAGAAATTTGACATATGGATAATATTTTAATTTTTGTTTACAGTGTATGGTTACAGAACAACAGATGAACATGGGAAATTTATGTAACATTTAGATAAGACCTTACCGATTAGCAAGTCCTTCCTGGTTTCCTCCATCCCCAACAGTAATGTAAATAGGAGCTGATTTGTTTGGAACAGTATGTGAAGTACCATTCGACCTAAATATGTTTGAGATGCGGTACTGAAAGAAAAGAAAAGAGAGAGAGAGAGAGAGAGAGAGAGAGAGAGATGCATCACTAGCTCAAAACTCAACTTAAAAGGAAAGGAAAAAAAAAAGAAAGGTCATCTAGAAAGGTTCATTTCCACTTATTCACAATAAATGATAATGATAGCTACAGAGAACAAACATAACATTTGTATGCTAAGTTCAGAAACCCACTAAAGCGTGAAAGCCGCTCAAATTTAGTCTACCGAGATTGTTGTCAGCCTTGACAATACAGCATCGTGCATAAGACTATATATGTTCCATGGTAATAGTACTTCTAAAGAGAAATTTCCAGAAAAGAGAACACATAGATATAGAGACGAACCGATCTCTCATAAGCATGGACGTGACCAGCAAAAACAACATCAACTTTATATTGACAGAACCAACTCTCGAACACAACCCTCATGCTCTCCCCCTCCATAAAATGAGCATCATTGCTATTGTACATTGGTGAATGCATCAGCACAATCAGCCAAGGAGTCTTCTCACGGTTGACATTTTTTAATTCCTGTTCAAGCCACTTCCACTGTGGTGTATATTTTACTGCCATGGTGCTAAAATGTATAAGCAAATTATGTGTAAATATTATATGTGAAAACAAGAAAAAGCATGTGTGATGACTATCCAGTGCTAAAGTGTAAAAAATATTAATCGACTCATTCAAGTGTTTAACTAGGTGCGCTGAGAAAAAAGTCTTTATTTCATATCAGGAGGAGGTAAGTTTATCAGAAACTTAAATTAGGGTCTTAAAGTTTCATATGATTATCTACTATAAGTAGGCCTTCCACACACGAGATACATAGATAACATTATATATCAAGGACCTTTGCTATCAGAGACGCTATCCTACCAAGAAAGCACAAAAGCATACGCAGATGTTCTACAAAGGACTCACAAGTGAGGGGGCATGTTGGAGTATCACTTGTGAGTTTCTCACATTTATTCTATAAGCTCAGTGGCCCTAGTTTATAAGTTTATTGGACTACTACTCACATCAACAATTGGTTTTAGATGAAGCCTAACTTAGATGCACCAACGTTCACCCTCGAATGGTGTACTTCGCCTCGATGGAACCGCACCCTTCCCCTCAATCTAAAACTCTAACAGTATCAACCTTCATAACAGTGGCATAAGCAAATGTGTTCGGAAAAATCAAGCAGGACACTAATTCTTTTGTTCTTGTAAGCGGGGAAAATCTTCAGGTTGACACTCCAACTGAATGCAGCATAAAATTTCTATAACTCGGCAAGGCTATCTCATTAGAAATCTCAACCGCAACAGAGGACATTCTCCAATTTTTCCTCACATCTCATAAAAAAGCAAATCCCATCGAATTTATCACAATAAACAACATCAATAGTGGAAAACAGTTTATGAAATTACCAAATGGAGAGTAGCTGGATAGGACAATAACATGAGCAGATCCCCTTCTTATGGCATACCATAGAGGGTTACTGCTTTTGCTAGCAGGATAAGGTGTAGGATATCTCTGAAGGTAGTTTCTGAAAGGTGTAACCTCTCCCTGAACATAGAGAGCAACAAAAATAGGTGGTTTAAAGCGCAAAATAAACACAATAATTAAAATAAATAAATAAATAAAAAGGAAAATCTTTTATGCTTAAGCATACATTTAAAGACTTCTGTATGCACCGAATAGAGTTGTGAAATAAGTAAATTCAAATAAAATGAACCGTATAAAGATGGGAAGAAACAGAAGTTTCTTGACTGCCAACAGAAGTTTCTTAACTGCCAACATAAGTATATTAAAATAAAACGACTTGCATATTTTTCCGAAAGATTTCACAAGATATCCAAGAATACAACTAGAACACAACCAAAAACAAAGGAAACTGATTCACAATCAATCCCAATTCTAATTCATTAAAATGCCTATATCTGAGATACAAGGAGACAGTCTTCCAGACTATATTTGGCAAACAACATCGAGAAAGAGTCAACAAGGACCGTGACGTCATAAGTGATTATATAAATTGACCACATATTAAGCTGGTAACATCCACATTTGCGAATAGATGCTCAAGAAAATATTCAAGAAAACATAGAAGAATTAGAACTAGTAGATCAAGAAGAGCACAGAAGATGAATAAGTTTAAAACTTGAAAATTTTGGACTCTTTCTTGAAAGCTAAAGGATAAATTTTGTTTAAAATTTTTGTTGCCTCCAATGTATTACCAAATGTAGAAAGTACTCTATTTCATGATTTCCTGCCGACCAGATCCATGGTTGATATGCTGCACTTTTTTCAACAAAACGGCCCCAGGTATCCCAGCGGACACCAATATCATGATTATCATATCTGTCAGCATAGGAAAGGTCCCCAACGAATAAAATAGCCTGAGCACCAGTCTTCATACAATGATTGAGAGTTGACAGGGAATTGAATGTTTGACCAAGATCACCTACAAGAACAAAAAAAGCATCATTAAGAAAATAGATTCTCCACAGCAAAATATTTAAATAGCATTTGAAACAGCACGAATCCAAGTGCATGATATGTCAATATTTTGATAATAACTAAACTTAAAGGTGTCTAGCAAAGTTGTGTCACAGAAAGAGATACTTTGGCTCATAAGTATTTCAAAATATGTCAGATATTATGCTCAAAAATTTAAGAGGCGAATTTAGAAGCTCCCATACCATATAAGGCGTTATAAACTCATTATAAAAGAAAATAATGATCATATACTTACAAATTTGATTACTACCAACTTCGAACATCTTGAATATTACAACTTACTTCTTCGTTTATTAGATTGCTTTTGTAGCTTATTTTAAAATGAGATCTTGAATCTTATAAACTCCAAACATATATTTATACAATGTCTATATTTTTAAATATCTACATGAATTTATCCAAGGAAACTCCAATTGAAAATGTTTCTCCTACGACTACAATTTGCTTTATGAAACATCTTCCATCGAAAAACTATGACCTTGTTTGATAAACTTTTTGAGTCTAAATTAGATGTATGGCTCATCGAAACCTCTAGTCTGAGTGTTTGACAGATGATTCAATTAGATTATTTGGTCCAAAAAAGATGATCTTGAACAGGCTGGGTATACCAACTTTTTAAGGAAGGGGGATTGTGAGATTTCATGAATATAAGAAGATAAAAAACAAAATCAACATGTTAAACTTGGCATGCATATTTTTTTATTTCTCTTCCATCTTTTCTTTTTATTTATTTTTTATCTGATCATTAGTGAGTTGCGCTTTGATTTAATTGATTACTCCATTTTTTAACTTTATGGCACACGAATTGAAATTAGTTTTTTGGTGTTTTGAGACTTTACATTTTAGAATATTTTTATTCCATTTTTGTCATTTATATTTCCTTATGCATCTTACAACAAAATATATTATTTACTAGTTCATTCATAAATTGTTAAAGTTACTCATCTATTTAAATGAGTGAATAATTTAATGATGGCTGTTTTATACAACATCCATTTAAAGTAACACTTTTTTTTATTCGGTATATGTAAATGTTATTATACATTTTTTGAAAAAATAATCATATATATCAATGGTAGACAAAGTAATACAGTTCATCACTTACACCAATATCCTTATTAGTTTGACATTTAAGTAATTATTCAACTGATATCTAATTACTGAACACTATAAATTGCTAACGCGATCAACTAGTCAAACCAACTAACCAAATAAGCTATCAGCTATTTACCCAATAGAAATGTATTTGAAGATCACGTTCATGCTCTCTACAATTGAAAATGTTAAGCTTTGTATCATGTGTTTGAATTTTCCATAATAATTAGGATCTCGTATACGCAATAGGTGCATGGTTAACATAATGTATTTACATAGTTTCCACTAACGTGCTTGTGATACCCAAATGTATCAGGAATCTCGTAAACCAAGTGGACTAGTTTATTTAGGATCCCTCATACATGTGGTAGTTAGTTTAGTTATTTACAATGTACTGTAACAACTCCAATTAATGTGCTTGTGATAAGATGTTGGATGTCTGATCATGCATGCGCATACATAAACATTCATTGAGTAGCGAGGATTGATGAAAGTTGAAATGACTGTAATCAAAATGGTATCTCCTTCAACCCCTTTATAAGTTATAACATCCAAAATAACAATCTTATCAGTGATGAAATTTTGTTAGTGGGAATTTAGAGCAAGAGAAAAACGGCCAGTTCTTTGCAAAAATTGAAAACATGTTTCAAGGAACACACAAGAGACACCTGAAATTTGGCATATAAACTCAATCCTTGTGGGTTCATTTGGACTCCATGAATCACTCTTGGAGGATGATAACCTGGTTGAATAATCCCGTATGAAATGTAAGCATTCTATGTTTAGTTAGAACTATTCATATGTGGTTACATGAATATGGAGCTAATCATGAGTTCATAAGTGTGAACATATGAACATGGGCCGAGAACGGACACCAGGTTAGCTCGAGGAGCCCAAGGATTATCTTAAGCCCCTTGTATTAGTGAAAATGAGTTGAACTGAATCACTTCAGAAAGAAATGTATATGATTCTTGTTAGATTCACAAATATATAAACTTTCTTCCAAAGTGATGTTCGGCCTAGCGAGGCAATAGTTGTCTTAAATGTAGTTTCCAAATATAGTGAAGGTTAAAAACGATTCAGGAGAATAACACTAGTTGGCAACAATAACTTTACCATAATAAAATCGGGGTGGGGGAGGGATGGGGATTAACTTAAATGTAATAACGCGAGGTATTAACCATGTCATAAATGTTCATGGTCAAAATATGATGTTAAACAATATCCATTCCTTTCGAGCAACTGCAATTTCTGATGCATCTTATGAGTGAGATCTTACTTAATATAGAAGACAACCAACATAATTTACTGACTATAGCCACACAATTTACTGAATATGTACTGCAGCCACACAATTTAGGAAGTGGCTGGAGGCCAGTGGGTGTGTTAGTTCCAATTAAGTAGGTCTAGTTAACCTAGCCCCTTATAACTATATTTTATGCTTCTATTTACTTGTCTTGTTCCTAGTGGCTACGCTCTCGCTGCCTTTGAAAAATCACTTTTTGGCTCAGACTTTGAAAGTACTAACCCTGACCTAGAAATTTCAACTTCCAATATACCTATTAGAAACGCTAGTATGTAGCCCGTGCACCTGCAATAACTATAATTGCATATATTAACGCAATGAAGAAATATTAATTGGTATGAAAATAGTTCTGAATATTATTAATTTTCTTTATTTTAGGATATATAATAATTTAATATATGATTCATGCGTTTATTTCACTCGTTACAAAATATTTGTCATTTCAGATCCAGTATATAATTAAGAATAATAAAAATTTAACATATTAATCTATTATCAATAAATAATACTCATACAATAATTCACCCCGTATATTTTCTCTTACCTATACCCTATTTTATAATATAGAGTAAATATTTTTTTTCCAACCTATACTATACGTGGTTTTTGAATTTTCAACCTAAAGTATTTTTTGTTGTAAAATGCAACCAGAACTACATATATACAATTATTTGCACACTCGACTACTTTTTGACCGTCCGATCATTTGCAAAAAATGCAAAAAGATACGTGTATGGTCAATATGTGGTCGAGCGTGCAAATAGTGACTATATATGTAGTTCAGGTTGCATTTTACAACAAAAAATATTTTAGGTTGAAACTCCCAAAAGCACGTATAGTATAGGTTGGAAAAAATTATTTACCCTTATAATATATTATTTCGATTTCTAAATAAGTTAGGCTAAAGTTGGAAAATGTGTTGCCAACACTTAATTGAACATAATTGTAATATATATTATTTTGAAGTTAAAAAATTATTATTTTTAATTACATTAATATTATTTTATTTTCTCTTATAATTTAATATACTATAAATATTTTAATTTTTCTTCCTAATCTATTAATTTATTTGAGATTTTTTATGATATTGTGAACAGAAATATGAAATTTTAAAAAATTGGGTTGGCACAGTTATTGATAAATTCAAAGGATATTTTTTAACTCTTTGAATAGATGATTTTTGGTATATTGCTTGTTACGAAAAGAATAGAATATCGTAGCGATTTGTTATTAATCTTGAGATATCAATTCTATTATAGTATTCTAGTAGTTATATCAATAAGGTTTTTGCAACTGATTTCTAAATTTATTTGTACTTATATTTTGCAATGTTCTCACGAATATTTCGGTCATGAGGGTATCCAACAAGATATGAGAACACGTGATTTGTTATTAAGGATAAAGTTAATAGTAAAATTTCTATTGATATTTTGGAAAATTGGGTATATATTTTTTGAAAAACTGGAAAGGTTGAGTTATTAATAAATCAAATGATTCTAAACTAATTCTCTCGATTAATTAATTTTTTTAAGACACGATAAAAAATATATTGTTATATGGTTGCTTACCAAATAAATAAGAAATCGCCGTGATTTGTTATTTATATTGATAAATAAGATTAGTTTGTAACATTGCGATAAATATCATAAAAAAAATTCGTAATCGAGTTTCAATTTTTATTTTGTTACAATATTTGCAATCTTATCGTACATATTCATATAATATTTTCTAAAAACAATATATTTAATAGAGGTTTTTTGAAGACACGTTGAATGGTTGGTTACCAAATGAATAAGAATTACTGTAATTCGTGATTATTATGAAGAATCGAACTTTTATTGCGACAATTATCACAATATAATTTTAAAATGATACCACTTTATTTATATAGAAAGTCGTGCTATTAAACATTGCACGATAAAACAGGTACTCATGTAGGTATAATTTAACTTTAATTTTTCTAAAGTAATTTTATTATATTTTTAAGTCAACTTAGTTAATTAGAAAGTCAAGTTACTATTTTAGATTATTTCATCAACCTCTTTCAATATATATAGATATAGATATGGATTACAAAAATCTACCAGGTAAACAAGACTACATGCTTCGCTTCCCTAGTTTGTGAAACACTAACCCTAGCAAGTATCAACCTTAAATGGAAACGCAAAACCAAACTCCGTAGCATAGGAATAAATTTCTCAATGTAAACCTGCAACTAAGCTTTTATGGAATATCTTGCTTAGTGTTAGGTTGGTTGGCCTATTTGCCAATATATTTGTTTTCTTCACAACGCAAATGAAAGGGAACTCAACTTTATATAAATGCTCATGCACAGAGGGAGAAATCATAGTATGCTTAAAAAGTTGATCAATGAAACTAAAAAGTGGATGCACCAAACAAAAAAATTTGATGTTTTTGTTATTTTTCAACCAACTGAATTTGTTTCTTTTTCCTTAGAGAGAGGGGTGCAGCATTTAAACAAAAATCCGCGTGGAAGGATCCTAGCTCCAAGTATTTACATTACAGATCACAGATGTCCAAGCATAAAGAAAATGTCATAAGCATAGTGCAAGTACTGTGAGGAATGATTATTAGTTAATGACACTATACAACAATATGCCGTGCTTGAATTTCATTAAACTCTACTTTACCTATAGCACGAGCACGGCTGATTGCTTATTCTTCAATCAAGGAAAGAAAAATGAACTTACCAATTATTCCAAATTTGTAAGACACATCTGGATTGATTTGCGGTGGTGTTTGAAACCAAAACTTTCTTGACGAATCACCATCCCCAATTTCATAGTAATACTTAGTGTCATACTGCAAAAAACAAGTTCCATTTCAATGAGTGGAGATAAAGGATTATGGGAAAGAATATACTATGAACCGAGTACCTTGAGCTTTCAGTTTCTATCGATTCTTTAAAAAAGGATTAAGGAAGGAAGGCATTTGTAATACTTAAATTAACATATTTGTGCCTATACTACTTTGAAAATAAAGACTAAAGTGCTCGTTTCCATTATTACAATCCTGACATCAGTGTTCTGCAAAATTTTACACTAACCTGAAGACCATCAACAAGAGCCTGATGAAGATAACCAGACTTGTAGTTGTAGAAGGTGTAGTTATGCACTGTCCCCTCTGCGGTAAAATCATAATGTCCATCTGATAAGCCATATCGAACTTTGTTGGACCCAGGCTCATCAGCTGTTACCCATGAGATTATAACAGCTTTCCCGTCATAGTCACCCTGTGTAATGTGCACCTGGAAATACAACAATCACCAATCATTTAGTGTGATATGATGATAGAGTATACATATTCATGCTTTAAATAACCGCATATTCCCACCAAACTTGCACACTTACTTGTTGCGGAGCGTTGTAGCCTTTAGGAACTGCAAACGCCTCATTGTCAAGCGGTATATCAACCGACGGCCACTCAGTCCGAATAAAAGCACTCGTAACACCAGCACTCCCAATGCTTATCAACGACAATAGAACACACGACAACAGCAACAGTCGAACCATCATTGATCCCTCTCCCTGTGTTCTCCTGAATAATCAAAATGCAAACAATACACAAATATTTGAGATTCTCTTCTTCTTCCTTCTATTTGCATTTCTTATTTTAGCAACCTTGAATTGCAAAACAACACTTTATCAACAAAAGGACTGATAATTTCTCACATGACTCCGAAGAGTCCATGGAATATACTACACCACACAGCACCAAAAACATTAATACTCCATTAGATAACATAAAGGGCATCAGCATTCACATGCCCCACCTCATAAAACAATCAATTCGATTCGTATTTTACAGACAGTCAAGTGTACGACTCAGAACAAACACGTCATCTCCATCCAACTGTAAATCTGCACTAGCCAATCAAAATTTACAATAATAAAATTAACAGAAAAAAAAAAAAAAAAGAAAAAAAAACCAATTTGATCTTCCACCACATAGAGGTCCAAATCTTGTTTTCACCATCAGCAAAACACAGCTTTTTGTCCTCCTCTCAAGTAAAAAAACGCACGTCGGAATATATTATCAAATTTGGACAATACATTTGCAGATGATATGCTTTGGGGGAGAAACATTGATCGATGAATGCTGTAAAATCACGCAAACCAAACGCATCAAATTAGGCATCTAGTGAGAGAATGATTGTACCTGAAATTGCAAGCGAAGGCTGGTAGCTTTGCTGTTGGATAATGGATAACGATTAATGTGTATATATAGGGAGATGGCGTAGATTGATTGATTAGGTGGGTATGCTGACTTTAGCACATGTGATGGATATAATTGAAGTCCAGAATCTCCGTCTATAAGGCTATGTTTGGTTCCAAGGGTGTGGAGAGATTTTAATGGAAGGGAGGTGGAGGAGGTGACGAGAGCGGAAGTGATGTAAAATATTTTACTTGGAAGAAAATTGGTAAATCTTGTTCAGTTTAAAAAGTAAGGGGATGAAAAATAAAATTATATAGACAAATATATCCTTCTTTATTACGTAGAGCATGTTTGTTTATAAGAATTTTTTAAAAAAAAAAATTCAACATTTTAACTCAACCACTTTTTTTTTAACTAAACTTTAACTCAACACTACTATCATTCATTTTATCAATATAATTAAATAATATCAATCAATCATTCATATACACCACATCAACCTTAATTCATTATTTATCTACTCACATAATTTTAACTAATCATCACATCACATCTTCTCTCTCCTACTTTTACTTCAATTTAATTTTAATTATTTTATTTTAAATATTATTTTAATCAATAATGCTACTTGTACCCCTTGGTGTATCACTTGGTTTACATCCAAGGGGTACATGTACACATTTACCCTTAATGAACAATTTAGTAAATGCTTCATTAAGGGTAAATGGGTACATGTACCCCTTGGATGTAAACCAAGTGGTACACCAAGGGGTACATGTAGCATTGTCCTATTTTAATATATCCACTAACAACTAACCATACCACTTTTTCCAAATTAACCAAACCAAACCAAAAAATCCAAACAAACTCAAAAAATTTCGTAAACAAACATGCTCATAACATTCATTATGTTTGTACATAACTCAATTAACCACTCTTACTCTTGCCAATAATGATCTACTAGTACGCATGCATTCCGTGCGATGCACGGGACAAACATAATTAAATGAGTTATTTTCACAGCCTTGTCCGTTTAAGTTTAAAAAAATAATAATGTTATTATCTATTTTCTACCTCTTTTAATCAACGTTAAGTCTAAAAAATTATTAAGTCGCCTTCTGCCAAATATGTATGGAGTTATGTGTTCGTGTCTCATAAGTCACAAACATTATGAATAACATTACAAATTATTCATTCAAACTTTTATTCATTGCAAAAATATTAAAATAGTTTATATAACAGTCATTAAATATCACATTCAATATATTTATAAATAAAAAGTACATAAAATTTTTAGTGTGTTCAAATCTAAATAATTTTTTATGGATTCAATTTTAAATCATCGAGACATTTGGTCAAACGTATAGGTGTGTTCAGATTTAAATCATTGGCATTTTGGTCAGTTGAAATTTAACTCATCTACCATTGTACTGTGATGTGTATTATATATATATATACAATTTTTTTAACAAATAATATGTGTTTCATAAAAATAATAATTATTATTTCACAAGATTTTAAACGTAAAATTTGGTTTTAATCACAATAGAAAAATCATGGTAAGTTGTATTGAAAATGTGTTATGAGATAAAACAATTAACTAAAATAATTAAATAAAATACTTGATGGAAATATAATGCATTAATTACCTTTGACTTTCTTTACTACTAATTCTAGTAAATAGAATGTCTTTTTATATAAGTATCGATGTGCATGTAAGATTTTTTAAACTATTTTGTAAAGAAAACATGTCTAAAAATAATTAAACTTAACATGTGTTACGTATATGTGAGTATATATATGTACATATAGATAGAATATGTAAACAAAAATATGTCTGAACATTTTGTTTAAGTATCTAAAATATTATAAGCCTACATAAAGACATTATCTCACGCTAAAGTTGTTCTAGAGAAGATTTATAAGATACCATAATTATGATGTTACTTCCATATGAAGATTTGACTAAACAATATTTCAAAAATTACTATCATTTTTTTAAGTTGTTACCATAAAAAGAAATTTGTACGCTTAACAATTTATCAATTTTATAAATACAAATTGATTAATGCAAAAGCTATCAATTTTACAAATTCAAATCGAGATTAATGCACACCAAAAATTATGTGCCAAATAAAAAGAAATTTTATATGTAATTGAGATCAAAGGCGAACACTGAAGACCATTTCTATTAACATTTACAATGTGTATTTAATTTTTTATTTTTTTTGCAAAATATTCTTTCTAAGTGTGAAATATAAATATTAAAAATACTTAAAATATTTTATAACATCTATAAAAGCATCTAAAATATTCTATATTATTCACAAATAATGTTTGAAGCTACCTAAATTTTTCTAAACTACCTGTAAGAAAAACATGTCTAAAAATTCTTCATTTAACCTCCATATATGTAAATATATAGAGAGAGCAAATGTGTAAAGAAATTTATACAAATAATATTTAAAAGTATCTAAAATATTAGCAATTAGACAGGTAAAATTTAGATTTTTAAAAAGAACCTAAATAGATAATGGATTTATTGTAGTAATTAGACTTTTATTTATTTATCTTTAAAGTTGTTACGATAGATGAGGGATGTGATTTTTTTGACTCGTGGAGATGGAATTTTGTAAGCTGGGTTATGAAATTTTTTTAAACTCGTCCATATTTATGCAATAAGTTTTTTGAACTGGGTATATAGATTTAAAATTGTAAAAAAAGAAAAAAAAAATCATAATCATTTGATTTGGTATTTTCGAAGAGCTTCATTAATTTAAAAGTGTAAAATAAATAAATAAATAAAATACAACTGAAAAAGTTACAACCAATTGTATGGAGAATTAAACTAAATCCAATTTTGTAGGATGCATTAAATACTGATTAGATTTTATATGTAGAATAAAATAAAAAATAACTGGAATAGCTTTACGTGTTACAATATTTTATATTAAAAAAATTAAAAAATCTTCTTTTACGTGTTGCATACCAACATTTTAGGAACTACATGGATATTCTTAAATTAATATTGTATACCCAATATTTCAGGAATTAATTAAATGCTAATTTGATTTGCATACCCAAAATATTAGATGCATTAATTAAATACTTGATAAAATTAGAAATTCATTATTTAAGTTTGACTTTTCTAACTACTATATTTATAAAATAAGATCCCCTTTATAGTATAAATTGCTATAAATTGAGTCTTACCAATAACCAACCATCAAAGAAACAATGATAAATAAATTGATGCCATAATATATTGCAAAATAAATGAAACATTACAAATCACATTTCATCATATAAAGTATATAATATATAAGTACAAAATACCATACATAAACATAGTAAAATTATAATAAAAATACTATAAACATCCATACGGCCTAAAGTGCATCAACATACGACAAAAGCTATTTTACCCTAGTAGTTCTTACAAAACATACAAAGTGATAGTTTTTTTGCACCATAATGACAACTTAAATTTCAAATAAATCATTTTAAGTTTTAAATTTTCAAAACATGTGAAACCACATAACATCTTTTTGCTCGCAATGGTGGATTGGAAAGGCCAAACATCATTCTCATAATAGCATCTTTACAAGCTTCGGGCGGACATTGAAAAACACATCGAAGCTTGTCGATGTCACTCATAAAAAAACAGTACATGTCTGTCAATAAGTTATTATCAAACTCGCATTCCTTCAGTAAATTCCATGTTTCTTCGCCAGAAATTGGGGGAACTTTATGGCAGTACATGTCTTTGAATAGCTCATTTCCTTCTCGTAGTGCATTAGCAACATTATCCATTACTCCTTTAATAATCTCAAATTCGGACGCTTTATCCTTCATTGCATCTTCTTTTTTTCTTTTCTTACTAGTTGCTCCATTGTTTGCTCCCATAGAAAGATGTTGAATAGAGAAACTGAATATATCATTATCCACGTCAATAGTAACACCAATATTCTCCAAGGTAACTTCATTTTGAGATACAAGGTTGTCAACCTCATCGATTGTTGTGGTAAATAGATTCTCAGTAGATGATGCTCGTCTCTTTCTCATTTCAAATACGGTCTCTGCATCCTCACTAGTAGCTTATCATTTCCATATAAAAGCACAATTTTCTCATAATTTGGAAATGAGATAAATCTCAATATGGCTCCCTTTGGTTTTGCATGTGAGTGAGCCATAAGAATATGTTATAGAGTTAAATAACAAGCTAACAAACATGATAATAAGCAAGCAGTAAAACATAAATATACCGTATTGTACTATGCAACATCCGTAAACTGGTTGGAACTCATGTAATCACATTCTGGAGATCGCCTCCCTAAAAAACCCAGGGTGAACATTTTGCCACTCAATCCGGGAGAGTAACTGGACTGTGAACCAAATAACTCAACCGTTTGGGTAAAGAACATACTCACATACCTCATACATGATAACTGAATATGCGTAATGTAACACCCTATACGGGCTCCCACCTGATAAACTGAATAGTTGTGCGAGTGATGGAAAGATGGATGCAACACCCGTTTATTTATTTTAAAGAAACACTGAATTTCAGAAAATTTTGAACTTTTAAAAAGATTCATTTTTCCAATTTAAACGAAACATACATTACTCAAAAACTATTATTTCTATCAAGACGTAAATAAACATTACAAAATAAATATGTTACAATTAATCAAATCGTAAATCATACATCCATATATTACAACCTCAATCAAAGCTTACCATACTTGTGGCTCCGCATCCCATAGTTTTTGTAGTTGGATTCCAAGCAAACCCGCTCTTTCCACTACTAAAAATATCATAGACTTCTGAAAACTTTTTCTTCAAAGTTTTCATCGATTTTTCACTCTCCTTATCAATCTTTTTGTCAAATAAGGCACTAGCTCTTTCACAATATTCTCATATGCAGTACTTATTACAACAATTATGTTCATTAATAAAAGCATCAAGAGCATCATCCATACTTATTGTCCAAGTTAAGTTCTCTTTTCCAGAGATTGTTGGACCTGAAGACTTCATGAACAAATGAGACATACATATATAATTTAAACTAGAAACTCAGATGACAACAATTACAACCTCAAAAGTTAACAATTCATAACTCCAAACATCTCATATAAATAAAACTAATTAAGCTTAAATACACAAATAACAAAGACAACGTATTCGACTCAACTAACAAATCAAAACCACTGAAATAGTGCAAACCATACATTATGAATGGTCAAGTTCATATTCTGACCACATCTCATGTGTTATACAATCCTTTATAAACTCTCCCCGAGCAACCTCTTCACTATCGGATCCAAGAACATAATTATTCTCTTCAATTGGATCTTGTCTTGCAAGTTTATAATCTACCTCAACAATAAGTTCTTCATTAGGGTCCATACTCATTAGATAATTATAGAGAATGCAACATGCAACAATAATGAGTTTTTGTGCTTTCACTCCAAAATTAGGTTCTGTACTCGAAGATAATATTTCGAAACGCTTTGGAACAGAAATGTTAATCTAAGCCTCTCTTCATTAAACTACTCAGATAGATGAGCTTATTTTTTCTCAAACGGATAAATTCATTGCATCCTCAGAAATTACAATAGTCCAACAACAAACCGAATAACTTCAACTAAAGTATCTAAAAGAAAGGAGGATGTAAATGCATACTTACATCCCCTAAACAAGCATAACCAGGCAAAAGACTACTACCCAAGTACCAAAATAAAGAAAAAGAAGCAAGCCTAGCACTTGTACAACCAAAAAGCTAGACATAAACTAGAATATACAACAAGCCAAGAAGAATCAACCAGCAAGAAAGGAAAACAATAACAAAAAGGAGGAGCACCACCAAAAAACCCACAACAGCTTTCACTTCAAACAACAGCACCAACCATTAAGATAGATGATCTAAATGGTTCAATTCTAACTCTATAATACACCTTCCCT